ATAAAATAATGCCCTCTCTTGATGAAACCCCTCTCCCAAAATACCCTCCATGCTCCACTACTGAGGGAGGCTCTGGGGCGCAGCGAAGGAAACGAGAAGGGTCTGTCTGCGGCTTGCAGTACGGAGGCGTGTCGAGTAGTAGGCGTGTCGGGTAGTGACGTCACTACCCGACACGCCTACTACATGAATTTTGAATCCACTTGAACTTCTGCAAGTATATCCGTTGAAGAGAAGACATGGCAGACCGTACGCAAACAGTAAGTGTCAACCAACAACGTGTTTTATTTATTTTTAGGCCGTCCCTCCAGTTACAGTGTATTAATGAATAAATGCACATCACCCTGACTAGAAATGTTTTTTAAGAAGTGAACTAATACATTGCAGAGAAAGCAATTCGTATGGGTTTCTTCTAAGAGTCCATGTGCCATCGACATGTCAGGTACATAGTATAATAGGTACATAGTATAATATATACAATATAATATTGCCCAAGTCATTTTGCATCGTTAAAATGGTAATAAGGAGAAAAACATAACTCTTTACATGTTTTCCAAGAACAGTGGAGAATTAGTTAGGCAATTATGTGATGTAGCTCACGATGTTTCCTATCACAGTTACAGAAGTCACTGACCATAGTTATTGGATGATGTTCCAAGATATTTGTGTTTCTGAGTGTGCACAAATGGATGTTTATGTCTGCTTTCAGTTGCATCCGACTATTGTCAGTGATGGGAATCATGCTCCAGTGCTGAAGCAGGGGAACACGCTCACGTGTGTAACCTGTTTTAAACATGGCGGAGAAGCACAAATGCTCACACACGTGCAAACCCATGAAAGGGCATCTGTTTGTCATGGAGGTATGTTTTAACTTCGAATCCAGGTGTTGTGCAATATTGTAAATTTGTTCTTTAAAGTGATTGTCTAGAGTTTGTCAGAAAGAGAGACAGAGAGGTACTTGATTTGAAAAAAAAACAACCCAAGCTCCCTCCCCCTTCCTTTCTGATTGGTCTACACGCTCTTACCGGAAGTATAGCATGATTTATATAATGTTTGTTTTACATTAGTAGGCCCGAGCGCCACCAGGCTGGCACAGGGACTATTGTAATGAAAGTGTGCATAAAACACTGAACCCCCCTCAAACATAAACATGTCATGGTACATGTTTCCTGGACGTACACTGTACTAAAAACTCTGCATTGCAACATTGTTGATGTACAGAGACCATAAAGTCATAAGTGCAAGTCACTGACAATATATTAAACAGGACACAACACCTTTTAGGGCTGCATTTGGTTTTGTGAACTGTTGTTGTTGAATGTAACACATTTTACTCTTATCTAGGTGACAGTTCACACTCTGGTCGAGGCATTTCACCTGCCTCAGCAAGAGGCAATTGAAAAATTCATAAAGGGGCCAAAGTATGAACCATGGTAAGATTATTTAAATATTGATGGACATATTTCACTGTTTAGACCAGAGAGAGACCAGAGAGAGAGACCAGAGAGAGAGACCAGAGAGAGACCAGAGAGAGACCAGAGAGAGACCAGAGAGAGAGACCAGAGAGACACCAGAGAGAGAGACCAGAGAGAGAGACCAGAGAGAGAGACCAGAGAGAGACCAGAGAGAGACCAGAGAGAGACCAGAGAGAGACCAGAGAGAGAGAGAGACCAGAGACAGACCAGAGAGAGACCAGAGAGAGACCAGAGAGAGACCAGAGAGAGACCAGAGAGAGACCAGAGAGAGACCAGAGAGAGACCAGAGAGAGAGACCAGAGAGAGACCAGAGAGAGACCAGAGAGAGACCAGAGAGAGACCAGAGAGAGACCAGAGAGAGACCAGAGAGAGACCAGAGAGAGACCAGAGAGAGGGCAGAGAGAGAGACCAGAGAGAGACCAGAGAGACCAAAGTGAGACCAGAGAGAGACCAGAGAGAGACCAGAGAGAGACCAGAGAGAGACCAGAGAGAGACCAGAGAGAGACCAGAGAGAGACCAGAGAGAGACCAGAGAGAGACCAGAGAGAGACCAGAGAGAGAGACCAGAGAGAGACCAGAGAGAGACCACTGTGTCTGTTTGATTTTCTGATCCGTGTCGACGAATCGACAACTTGGTAAAGTCCTTTGACGAGGCTAAAAACATAGAATAGAATTGTTGTGATGAAAAACAGTTAAACATTATTTATTAGAAACTTAAAGCTGCTGAACCTAAAGTTTTGTTTCGAGACTGAAATGTTGTTTGTCGCGATAGAAAAAGTGTGAGAAATGTGTTTATTGTGGATAAATCCGACGTCATCTCCCCAGGTCATTGTGCTGACGTGATCCAACAGTCCCTGTGAGTCACTATTTGACCCTTTGGGCTCAGACAGAAATAAGAATTAGATTTTTACATGAGCTTTGAAAATAGAGACCACAGCTTTAAGTCTCGCACCAAATGTTAGTGCTATAAGAACCAAGTGGAACTCTGAGGAGCACAGGGACTGGCCTCCTGCTGTGACTCTGAGGAGCACAGGGACTGGCCTCCTGCTAAGACTGAGGAGCACAGGGACTGGCCTCCTGCTGGGACTCTGAGGAGCACAGGGACTGGCCTCCTGCTGGGACTCTGAGGAGCACAGGGACTGGCCTCCTGCTGTGACTCTGAGGAGCACAGGGACTGGCCTCCTGCTGGGACTCTGAGGAGCACAGGGACTGGCCTCCTGCTAAGACTCTGAGGAGCACAGGGACTGGCCTCCTGCTGGGACTCTGAGGAGCACAGGGACTGGTCTCCTGCTGGGACTCTAAGGAGCACAGGGACTGGCCTCCTGCTGGGACTCTGAGGAGCACAGGGACTGGCCTCCTGCTGGGACTCTGAGGAGCACAGGGACTGGTCTCCTGCTGGGACTCTAAGGAGCACAGGGACTGGCCTCCTGCTGGGACTCTGAGGAGCACAGGGACTGGCCTCCTGCTGGGACTCTGAGGAGCACAGGGACTGGCCTCCTGCTGGGACTCTGAGGAGCACAGGGACTGGCCTCCTGCTGGGACTCTGAGGAGCACAGGGACTGGCCTCCTGCTGGGACTCTGAGGAGCACAGGGACTGGCCTCCTGCTAAGACTCTGAGGAGCACAGGGACTGGTCTCCTGCTGGGACTCTGAGGAGCACAGGGACTGGCCTCCTGCTGGGACTGAGGAGCACAGGGACTGGCCTCCTGCTGGGACTCTGAGGAGCACAGGGACTGGCCTCCTGCTGGGACTGAGGAGCACAGGGACTGGCCTCCTGCTGGGACTCTGAGGAGCACAGGGACTGGTCTTCTGCTGGTCCCAGAGTCAGGACTAAACATGGGGAGGCAGTGTTTCAGATTTATGCAGCTAAAAACAGTCTTCCAGAAAACGTGAGACGGGCAATATTCAAATCCAGGTTAAAAACAGATTTAATCCTGACTTTCTGATTTAAAGCCTTGTCTTGTGAGTTGCCGTGTGTGGACTGTGCTATACCAATAACCTTGCCTAATGCTAAAGGGTTATGAACATATGACATCAGTGACTTTTCCGCGTGGCCTCGCACCAGCATTTTTGTGTTACAATTTGAGTAAACTTCTGAACCATCAAACGACAGAATAAAAATAACATATGTACATGTAGATACGGATACAGGTGTAAAAAATAAAAGAATACAGAATACATACAGGTGAACAGAACCATGAACAGAACCATGAACAGAACCATGAACACGCTCAGAGCAGAGGAGTCATTCTGTGTCCGTCCTAAAAACAACAAAGTTCACAATCTGGTCCCAAAGAGTTCCATCCACATGGACGGCGTGCTCCGGTGTCTGGCCGTGACTGCCCTTCCTCTGATTGGCTGCGTCCGTCCTGAGAAAAGGTACTTGTAGAAGAAGAAAGCAGTTTGTTGCTGGGGGACGTGAATGCTTCTCGGGCACAAGACGCCATTTTGTGTCCACGGAAATCACAGTTGCATCTTTTTGTTTTCCCCCCGTTTGGATTGAATGGTATAGACCAGGTGAGAGACCAGGTGAGAGACCAGGTGAGAGACCAGGGGAGAGACCAGGGGAGAGACCAGGGGAGAGACCAGGTGAGAGACCAGGGGAGAGACCAGGTGAGAGACCAGGGGAGAGACCAGGGGAGAGACCAGGTGAGAGACCAGGGGAGAGACCAGGGGAGAGACCAGGGGAGAGACCAGGTGAGAGACCAGGGGAGATACCAGGTGAGAGACCAGGGGAGAGACCAGGTGAGAGACCAGGGGAGAGACCAGGGGAGAGACCAGGTGAGAGACCAGGGGAGAGACCAGGGGAGAGACCAGGGGAGAGACCAGGTGAGAGACCAGGTGAGAGACCAGGTGAGAGACCAGGTGAGAGACCAGGTGAGAGACCAGGTGAGAGACCAGGGGAGAGACCAGGTGAGAGACCAGGGGAGAGACCAGGGGAGAGACCAGGTGAGACACCAGGGGAGACACCAGGGGAGATACCAGGGGAGAGAACAGGTGAGAGACCAGGGGAGAGACCAGGGGAGAGACCAGGTGAGAGACCAGGTGAGAGACCAGGGGAGAGACCAGGGGAGAAACCAGGTGAGAGACCAGGGGAGAGACCAGGGGAGAGACCAGGGGAGAGACCAGGTGAGAGACCAGGGGAGAGACCAGGGGAGAGACCAGGGGAGAGACCAGGGGAGAGACCAGGGGAGAGACCAGGGGAGGCAGGACCAGGGGAGACAGGACCAGGTGAGACAGGACCAGGGGAGACAGGACCAGGGGAGACAGGACCAGGGGAGAGACCAGGGGAGAGACCAGGGGAGACAGGACCAGGGCAGGTTGAGAAGCTAGTAGCAGATCTTGTGTTTCTAATCTGGTGAAAGTGTAAAACAGCCGGAACAATCAGTTGTGTCCCTAGGGTGCTGTGGCAGGGCGGGGTGGGGTCCTTAGGGTGCTGTGGCGGGGCGGGGTGGGGTCCTTAGGGTGCTGTGGCGAGGGCGGGGTAGGGTCCTTAGGGTGCTGAGTTGGGGTGGGGTGGGGCGGGGTCCCTAGGGCGCGGTGGTGATTGCGTTCAGGTCTTTCATGAGGCCCTCCAGGTGGGCCATCTCCTCCGTCAGCTCGTCGGGTTCGTAGCTCTGCGGGAGAGGCACAGGAGGGGGGGCGTTACTGCGCGAGGCGGAGGAGGGCGTCAGGGAGGCCAGGACCTGCAGGAGAGCCAGGGGGGAAGAGGGGGGAGAGGGGGAGAGGGGGGAGAGCAAGCCCAGGTCAGTCAGGTTAGGAGGGCAGGGGGAGGGGCTGATGCTGAGGCAAAGACTGCAGCTGATGTCCTGTACCTGTGATACCTGGACCTGGGGTAAGTCTGGGGTAGACCTGAGGCTGGATTATGGCGTTAATAATCTGGTTTATCGACGCCTCTTTATGCTGCCTTTACCTTTTTACTCTAACGACTTCTCTGCACCTGGAGCCAAAGAGATTCCTAGTTTGTGACTTCCTGTCTCCTGTGACCTCCTGTGACCTCCTGTGACCTCCTGTGACCTCCTGTGACCTCCTGTGACCTCCTGTGACCTCCTGTGACCTACGATGGCAATAAAAAACATCTGGTTCTGGACCGGGTCTTGCTTTTTTATTAACCAAAAAATATAGAGAAGTATAGAGTTGTTCTATACTTTATATTAACCTCATTCTTCTGTTCTTTAACTGGTAATACAACACTGACATTTCCCTTGCACTTTACAGCTTCCGAACTAAAGACCTGCTGAGCTTTGGAGACCAGACCAGGCCAGGTTTAAGACCTATTTTATACATGGTCCAGAATTATGATCACATGGTCAGACAGTGGCCCCGACTTGGCCCCGACTTGGCCCCGACTTAGCCCCGACTTAGCCCCGACTTAGCCCCGACTTAGCCCCGACTTAGCCCCGACTTAGCCCCGACTTAGCCCCGACTTAGCCCCGACTTAGCCCCGACTTAGCCCCGACTTAGTCCCGACTTAGTCCCGACTTAGTCCCGACTTAGTCCCGACTTAGTCCCGACTTAGTCCCGACTTAGTCCCGACTTAGTCCCGGCTTAGTCCCGGCTTAGTCCCGACTTAGTCCCGACTTAGTCCCGACTTAGTCCCGACTTAGTCCCGACTTAGTCCCGACTTAGTCCCGACTTACCCCGACTTAGCCCCGACTTATGTGTTTAAAACCTCATTCTAGCTCATACATTTAGCTCGTTTGCTAGCACTGCCCTTGTCACCCTAGAAATAAAACGCTTCCCATTGAAAGTCCACGTCTTTGCAGCAGGAACAGCCCCTTACTGTATGAATGAAATGAGAATGGGTCAAAGAAACTGAAGCCAAAAGAAAAAAGCAGCCGGAAAAACATCCAGAAAAGCATTCCAAATAAACTAAACAAAAAAGCAACAAAATCATTCCAGGTGTTTTTGAAAAGTTATTGATTAAAAGACAAACATGCGCCGACAGAATCGACAGAAGCAGACGGAAAAGAGGAGAAACAGAGAGACAGAGTTAACGGCGGCGTCCGGACGGTTCCTGTGAGCGTGAGGTCAGAGGAGCACGTCGATGTTCAGGAAGACGTGTCCGAGACTCACACTGTCCACGTCCTCCAACATCCGGCTGGTCTCCGGGACGTCCGGGGCGTTAGGCACCGTCACGATCATCGGGGTCCGCGTCCGGCCCAGGGTCCCGATGGAGGCCGTCTTCACCACGTGGGGGTGGCTGGGAGCGCCTGGGGGGGCAGGGGGAGGCCGTCAGGAGAAGTGTAAACAAAAAGGTGCACTTTCATTAAAGTCATTTTAAGTCAAGTTTTTAAGTGTGTGTCCTGGGTCTACAGCCTCAGTCCTGGGTCTACAGCCTCAGTCCTGGGTCTACAGCCTCAGTCCTGGGTCTACAGCCTCAGTCCTGGGTCTATACAGTCTCAGTCCTGGATCTACAGCCTCAGTCCTGGGTCTACAGCCTCAGTCCAGGGTCTACAGCCTCAGTCCTGGGTCTACAGCCTCAGTCCAGGGTCTACAGCCTCAGTCCTGGGTCTACAGCCTCAGTCCAGGGTCTACAGCCTCAGTCCAGGGTCTACAGCCTCAGTCCAGGGTCTATAGCCTCAGTCCAGGGTCTACAGCCTCAGTCCTGGGTCTACAGCCTCAGTCCTGGGTCTACAGCCTCAGTCCTGGGTCTACAGCCTCAGTCCTGGGTCTACAGCCTCAGTCCTGGGTCTACAGCCTCAGTCCTGGGTCTACAGCCTCAGTCCTGGGTCTACAAGTCTCAGTCCTGGGTCTACAAGTCTCAGTCCTGGGTCTACAAGTCTCAGTCCTGGGTCTACAGCCTCAGTCCTGGGTCTACAGCCTCAGTCCTGGGTCTACAGCCTCAGTCCTGGGTCTACAGCCTCAGTCCTGGGTCTAAAGCCTCAGTCCTGGGTCTGCAGCCTCAGTCCTGGGTCTGCAGCCTCAGTCCTGGGTCTACAGCCTCAGTCCTGGGTCTACAGCATCAGTCCTGGGTCTACAGCCTCAGTCCTGGGTCTACAGCCTCAGTCCTGGGTCTACAGCCTCAGTCCTGGGTCTACAGCCTCAGTCCTGGGTCTAAAGCCTCAGTCTTGGGTCTACAGCCTCGCGTATGGTTCTGTCTATCGTCCTGTCGGCGTATGGTTCTGTCTATGGTCCTGTCCGCGCATGGTTCTGTCTATGGTCCTGTCCGCGTATGGTTCTGTCTATGGTCCTGTCTGAGTGTCTATGGTCCTGTCCGAGTGTCTATGGTCCTGTCCGCATATGGTTCTGTCTATGGTCCTGTCCGCGTATGGTTCTGTCTATGGTCCTGTCTGAGTGTCTATGGTCCTGTCCGCGTATGGTTCTGTCTATGGTCCTGTCTGAGTGTCTATGGTCCTGTCCGAGTGTCTATGGTCCTGTCCGAGTGTCTATGGTCCTGTCCGAGTGTCTATGGTCCTGTCCGAGTGTCTATGGTCCTGTCCGCATATGGTTCTGTCTATGGTCCTGTCCGCATATGGTTCTGTCTATGGTCCTGTCCGCGTATGGTTCTGTCTATGGTCCTGTCCGAGTGTCTATGGTCCTGTCCGCGTATGGTTCTGTCTATGGTCCTGTCCGCGTATGGTTCTGTCTATGGTCCTGTCCGAGTGTCTATGGTCCTGTCCGAGTGTCTATGGTCCTGTCCGAGTGTCTATGGTCCTGTCCGCGTATGGTTCTGTCTATGGTCCTGTCCAAGTGTCTATGGTCCTGTCCGCGTATGGTTCTGTCTATGGTCCTGTCTGAGTGTCTATGGTCCTGTCCGCGCATGGTTCTGTCTATGGTCCTGTCCGAGTGTCTATGGTCCTGTCCGAGTGTCTATGGTCCTGTCCGCGCATGGTTCTGTCTATGGTCCTGTCCGCGCATGGTTCTGTCTATGGTCCTGTCCGAGTGTCTATGGTCCTGTCCGCATATGGTTCTGTCTATGGTCCTGTCCGCGTATGGTTCTGTCTATGGTCCTGTCCGCGTATGGTTCTGTCTATGGTCCTGTCCGAGTGTCTATGGTCCTGTCCGCGTATGGTTCTGTCTATGGTCCTGTCCGAGTGTCTATGGTCCTGTCCGCGTATGGTTCTGTCTATGGTCCTGTCCGAGTGTCTATGGTCCTGTCCGCGCATGGTTCTGTCTATGGTCCTGTCTGAGTGTCTATGGTCCTGTCCGCGCATGGTTCTGTCTATGGTCCTGTCCAAGTGTCTATGGTCCTGTCCGCGCATGGTTCTGTCTATGGTCCTGTCCGAGTGTCTATGGTCCTGTCCGCGTTTGGTTCTGTCTATGGTCCTGTCTGAGTGTCTATGGTCCTGTCCGCGTATGGTTCTGTCTATGGTCCTGTCCACGCATGGTTCTGTCTATGGTCCTGTCCGAGTGTCTATGGTCCTGTCCGCGCATGGTTCTGTCTATGGTCCTGTCCGAGTGTCTATGGTCCTGTCTGAGTGTCTATGGTCCTGTCCGCGCATGGTTCTGTCTATGGTCCTGTCCGAGTGTCTATGGTCCTGTCCGCGCATGGTTCTGTCTATGGTCCTGTCCGAGTGTCTATGGTCCTGTCCGCGTATGGTTCTGTCTATGGTCCTGTCCGAGTGTCTATGGTCCTGTCCGCGCATGGTTCTGTCTATGGTCCTGTCCGAGTGTCTATGGTCCTGTCCGAGTGTCTATGGTCCTGTCCGCGCATGGTTCTGTCTATGGTCCTGTCCGAGTGTCTATGGTCCTGTCCGCGTATGGTTCTGTCTATGGTCCTGTCCGCGCATGGTTCTGTCTATGGTCCTGTCCGAGTGTCTATGGTCCTGTCCGCGTATGGTTCTGTCTATGGTCCTGTCCGAGTGTCTATGGTCCTGTCCGAGTGTCTATGGTCCTGTCTGAGTGTCTATGGTCCTGTCCGCGCATGGTTCTGTCTATGGTCCTGTCCGAGTGTCTATGGTCCTGTCTGAGTGTCTATGGTCCTGTCCGCGCATGGTTCTGTCTATGGTCCTGTCCGAGTGTCTATGGTCCTGTCCGCGTATGGTTCTGTCTATGGTCCTGTCCGAGTGTCTATGGTCCTGTCCGAGTGTCTATGGTCCTGTCCGAGTGTCTATGGTCCTGTCCGCGCATGGTTCTGTCTATGGTCCTGTCCGAGTGTCTATGGTCCTGTCTGAGTGTCTATGGTCCTGTCCGCGCATGGTTCTGTCTATGGTCCTGTCCGCGTATGGTTCTGTCTATGGTCCTGTCCGAGTGTCTATGGTCCTGTCCGCGCATGGTTCTGTCTATGGTCCTGTCCGAGTGTCTATGGTCCTGTCCGCGTATGGTTCTGTCTATGGTCCTGTCCGCGTATGGTTCTGTCTATGGTCCTGTCCGCGTATGGTTCTGTCTATGGTCCTGTCTGAGTGTCTATGGTCCTGTCCGCGCATGGTTCTGTCTATGGTCCTGTCCGAGTGTCTATGGTCCTGTCCGCATATGGTCCCCGCTCGGAGCCCCGTTACGGCGGCTGTCACAAAGCGGGTCGGGTTTTCCCAGATGGCATCACAAATACATTTATGGACATTGGTCTCTGCCGCTTATGGACCAATGAATGTGTATTTTTCATCTGTGTTTGATTCTCTGATCTGTGTTGGAGACAGCTTTGTAAAGTCCTCAGAGAAACTACTGCTGTGACTCAGACACAAAAATACATTGAATTGATAAACTTACTCTTTGTTGAGACTGTAGCATTGACTCCAAGTATCTGATGATCTGACTCTTGAAGTCCTTCACCTTCTCCTTCTGCAGAGACAGAAGTCAGTTGCGCATTGTTCTGGAGGGGTCGCTTCTGCTCACGTGTTGCTCGTGCGCGTGGCCCGGCTGTCCTCAGTCTGGCTGCTCGTGGTCTGCTCCTCCTCCGCGTCCCTGCACCTGCTGTGGTTCGCATATCCCCACTGCTCTCCTCCTCTGCGGGCTCTTCTGCGGGCTGCTCCGCGGGGCCCCTCCGCGGTTCTGTGCTGCTCGTTCCTCGTGGTCTGCTGCCGCGCGCAGACGGTCTGGCGGTGCTGTGCGTGTCCCTGCCTCCGACTGGCGGTGCCGCGTTGTCCCGTTGCTCTTCCCAAGTCTCCTGGCATGTGAGTACAGTGAGTGTGCCGACCGCGGACAGTTTAATCCCGGAGTCTAGGCTGCAGGCGGCTGGTTTTTGCCCTACGCACTTGACTGCAGGCGTCAGTCTTCGCCCGTGCTTGGTCTGCAGGCTCCGTTTTACACGTGTTGAGCTAACTGAGGGTCAATGCATCTTAAATGGCATCAATCTCCAATGTCTGAGGGATATAAGAGGAGCAATGTGCATTAATTCAGATTCATGTTCTGCCACTTGCAGTAAAACCACGTTGGAAAAAATGTGCAAAGACTACCCCATCGTGCTCCAGACGGCACACACAGAGCTCTTGCACGGCGCCATCTTTACAGCATCAATCTCATTACTCGCAAGTCACTATTGTTAAATTATGTATTTAAATTCGTCTATCTGCAGGAGGAAGGAGGGGCCATGCATTTAAATAGCTAGGTCACTAGTATTAAACTGGGTAACTAAACTGCAGTTGTTGCATTTCGAAAGTGCAGCAGAAAGAAAAGGGGCCCAATGTGAATATGCAATGGGTTTGAAGTGGAGCTGTAGCTATGAACGCATGGATCAGTGATCGTTCATGCGTATCTGCCATAACCAAAGCAGCAAGATGGCTCCAGGGGACATCTGTTTCTCGCATGGGAATGTTTCGGATTCGGGTTGATTTATTTCCTCAGGCTCTTAAACAACCGTGGGCATGGTTCTCTGACCGCCGCTGCTGCGGTCCCTGCTGCCGTTCCTACTGATGCCTGATCCCGCTGCTGCCTATTCCTGCTGCTGCCTGTCCCTGCTGCCTGCTCCTGCTGCTCCTACTACTACATGTGCCGCTGCTGCTGTTCCTGCCGCTGCCGCTCCGCAGGCTCCCAGGCTGCACCTATCTCTACGGCTCGGCTCTTCAGACACGTACGTAACCTGGCTCACGGAGACAAGCGGCGCACGCTGGCGTGACACGTCTGTTGTTCGTATGAATTGCATTGTGCTGCTGCTGCTTGCTGCTTCTGCTGCCGCTACTGCTGCTATTGCTGCCGCTGCTGCTTCATACTGCATCTGCTGCCGTGCTGCTGCTGCTTCTTTACTTTGACACCTCTCTTCACTGCGCATCTCTTTTACTGAAACACTAAACAGCTTCAACTATATTCTACTGCGGTGGCTTGATACAGGATTATTGCTGTTATTATCTACGGATGCTGCAACCGCTGCTGCTGCTGCTGCTTCATGCTGCTACCGTTACTGCTGCCGCTGCTGCTTCATACTGCATCTGCTGCCGTGCTGCTGCTGCTTCATGTACTTGACATCTCTCTTCACTTCGCATCTCTTTTACTGAAACACTAAACAGCTACAACAATATTCTACTGCTCTGGCTTTGATACAGGATTATGGCTGTTATTATCTACGGATGCTGCAACCGCTGCTGCTTCATACTGCTACTGCTGCTACTGCTAATGCTGCTTCTGCTGCTTCATACTGCTACCGTTACTGCTGCTGCTACTGCTGCGCTGCTGCTGCTGCTTCATGTACTTTGACATCCCTCTTCACTTCGCATCTCTTTTACTGAAACACTAAACGGCTACAACAATATTCTACTGCTCTGGCTTTGATACAGGATTATTGCTGCTATTATCGACGGATGCTGCAGCTGCTGCTGCTTCACACTGCTACTGCTGCTGCTGCTTCATACTGCTACTGCTGCTGCTTCATACGGCTACTGCTGCTACTGCTGCTGCTTCATTTACTTTGCCATCTCTCTTCACTTCGCATCTCTTTTACTGAAACCCTGAACAGCTACAACAACATTCTACTGCTGTGGCTTTGATACAGAATTATTACTGTTATTTTCTAAGGACGCTGCTACTGCTGCTGCCGCGGCTTGATACAGGACTTTGCTGTTATTATCTGAGGCTACTGCTGCTGCCGCTGCTGCTACTGCTACTGCAACCCATTCTCTCAGAAGCTTATCCTGCTTCTAATGGATGCAGCCCGGCTGAGTATGCCGCGCTGCGCCGGACTCGCACCTATGCTCCCAGGGTCGCTTCGGCGGTCGTGCTTCATCTTTCTACTGAATCTCCTGATTCTATCAGATGCAGCTGGCCAAGTAGCTGCGCTGAGCCGTCAATCGGACTCCTAATCAAAGGCATCCATACCTGGTTCTTCACTCTTCTGATCACAGGCTCCCCATCATGCTGCCCATCCTGCAGCGGCGCTGAACTCCGGCTCATCTTCCAAGTACATGTCTGCCCTCCTCGCAGCATCTTCTGCTCGCCTTCTGTGGCTTCTCTGCATAAGCGTTTCACCACTGCTCACTCAACCTTCAATGCGGTCCGAGACACGGCTTCCCGTCCTATCCTACTGGCCTAATTATCTACTCTCCAACCCAAGATTCTAAGCGTAAAGGCGCCTGCAACATCAATGGCCCTCTCCGGTGTGTCTCTCTGCCCCTACAGGTCTCCGCTTCTACACGGACGCTGCCCCTTCCGTGGGTTTTTGGGGATTCTTCCAGGACCAGTGGTTCGCCGGCCGTGGCCCGCTACTTTCCCCGGAGCATTTCCTCTGCCCTACACGAGACATTCCCAGTGGTCGTGGCCTGCGCGCTGCGGAATCACACGTGGCAGAGAAAGAGGATCTCTGTCATGCGTGATCATCTCGACGTAGTGGAAGCATTAAACAAAGGTCGCTCTTCTCACCCAACATAATGTCCCCTGACCATTCAACCTTCATCTCAAACATTCAAAGATCAGAGGCGCCTGCAACACAATAATAGCTCGCTTCGACACATCTCTCTGCCCCTACAGGTCCATGATGCGTTACACTCGCCTCCGCGGCAAAAAGGAGATTTTAACGGACCTCTAATTCTCACTCCAGTCAACCTTCCCATAACAGCAACCTGGTTCAGAGCTCAGCTAAGATCCCTACTGCTCCTCTGCAATTTTGTCTCCCCAGCTCTATACAGCCCACTCCTTCAGGATAGGCGCTGCCACGCGCGCGACCTCGCTGGGGCTCCCCCACTCTTCCTCTGCAACGGCTGGGGCGCTGGTCCTCTTCGGCTTCTCCACCTACATCAGGCCAGATGCGACCGCTATCATGGCAGCACAACGTCTACCGGCTTCCTCGTAAGCTCCCAGCAAAGCAAGTAAGCAATAAGATTCTGGTGGCGGCACGCACTTTCCTCAAACGCTCAAAGATTCCTTGCTTCAGCGTCTGGCTGAATATGAGCGTGCGCTCATATTCTCAGTTCGCTCAAAGATTCCTCTGCTGCGGCTGGCTGAACATGCGCGTGCGCGCATGTTCTCAGTTCGCTCAAAGATTCCTCTGCTGCGGCTGGCTGAGCATGCGCGTGCGCGCATGCTCTCAGTTCGCTCAAAGATTCCTCTGCTGCGGCTGGCTGAACATGCGCGTGCGCGCATGTTCTCAGTTCGCTCAAAGATTCCTCTGCTGCGGCTGGCTGAGCATGCGCGTGCGCGCATGCTCTCAGTTCGCTCAAAGATTCCTCTGCTGCGGCTGGCTGAACATGCGCGTGCGCGCATGTTCTCAGTTCGCTCAAAGATTCCTCTGCTACAGCGGCTGGCTGAACATGCGCATGTTCTCAGCTCGCTCATGCTCTCAGGCCCGCGCAGTACGTCCTGCTATCCCAATCGCAAGCCCGCTTTTTGGGGATCATGCACGCGAGCAAGCGCCGTGCTCAACAGCATCCCGCCCGGGCCTAGGGCGCCAAACATGCTCAATCAATAAACATGCTTAAATCTAATAAGTCTAATGCGTTTTCCTCATGGGTCTCTCCAAGGTGAAATGGAGCTTTCGCGAAAGTTCACCGTGGTAGACCCGGCTGTTGCTGCCAGGCCACAGGCTGCTATTCCTCGACTCATCAATACCAGCAACGCCCACACCCAGTCAACCAATAACCACCAGGACAGCAAGTTAAAAGCCGGAGACGCCCACTTCCCAATCTTCTGAAGTCTGCAAGCCGCCGCCGCCCCACCTCCTCCTTCTCGCATGAAGCGTGTTGCCTACTGCCTCTGCCGTCACCAGTGCCTAGGCCCCGGGGGGATCATGCACGCGAGCAAGCGCCGTGCTCAACAGCATCCCGCCCGGGCCTAGGGCGCCAAACATGCTCAATCAATAAACATGCTTAAATCTAATAAGTCTAATGCGTTTTCCTCATGGGTCTCTCCAAGGTGAAATACATTTATGGACATTGGTCTCTGCCGCTTATGGACCAATGAATGTGTATTTTTCATCTGTGTTTGATTCTCTGATCTGTGTTGGAGACAGCTTTGTAAAGTCCTCAGAGAAACTACTGCTGTGACTCAGACACAAAAATACATTGAATTGATAAACTTACTCTTTGTTGAGACTGTAGCATTGACTCCAAGTATCTGATGATCTGACTCTTGAAGTCCTTCACCTTCTCCTTCTGCAGAGACAGAAGTCAGAGTTTGTCAGGTCCATGTTATTGTGTGAGCATGCTATGGTGTTAGCGAGTGTCCGTACCTCGAAGCGCAGCACCTCTTTGCGCACCATCATGCCCACTCTGTCGAAGTCTCTCTCGTACTGCGTCACTCTGGACTCCCACTGTAAACAACACATTCACATCAGAAACCACAGATCCTGTATGAGAGGTAGGGCTGGATCAAAACACATTCAAATAGCATTGCTTAATATATATACAAAATAAATACATTTAATGTACAGTACAGAGCAAAAGTGTGAACCCAGTCCAGATGGTTTTGGACCTGAACCCAGTCCAGATGGTTTTGGACCTGAACCCAGTCCAGATGGTTTTGGACCTGAACCCAGTCCAGATGGTTTTGGGGCTGGACCACAGAGTGAAGGGGCCAACAAGTGCTAAGCATCATGGGAACTCCTTCATGACTGTTGAAGACCATTTCAGGTCCTGTTGAAGCTCATCCAGAGAATGCCAAGAGTGAAGCAGTATCAGAGCAAAAGGAGCTACTTTGAAGAACCAGAATATAACACATACTTTCACTTGGTTCATTCATAGGTTTGATGCCTTCAGTGTCAATCTACAATTTTCATAATCATAAAACTATGAACAATATAACTCCTGTGAACCAGAAGGTGTGTCCAAACTTTTGGTCTGTACTCTGCAAAAATGTATTCATATTTTGACCAATAAATGCTTGTAATATCTCCCTGGGTATAAAAAAGTTATAGCAGCTATTGTTTTGTCCACCAGAGGGCAGTGTCTACAGGTAATCAATGCTGTTTTTAGACCCAGGTTCTTTATTTCAGTCAGATGCTTCTTCACTTCTTATAAACAAGTGTGTAACAGTCGTAGGTCCACACGCTCGGTGCGTACGGACAAAAACAATATTCTGACCCGTTCTAAAACAGGATCATTTATCGAAGACTGTCTGTGACTGAAGTAAAAACAATCACCATTTGCAGCTAATGCACAGATAATCCTCCCAGTTTAATAATCCAAGATTAAGAGCAGTCTAATCTTTGTTCGAATGACAGTGTTTTTGTTAATATTCAAGTTATATTCCATTATTGAATCTGGTTTTCCCAGCTCTACTGACAGGAGTCACCAACCTTTGTGACTCTGAGAGCTACTTTCTCGAGACAAACACAGGCAAAGAGCTACTGCTTAAGGCTTCCACCAGTAAGAGGCCCCTGCTGTATGAGCTACACCGGTGCTACTGAATGTAACACAAAGAGCACATTCCCCAAATCTCACGGCTGCAGACGAGTGTCATTCTCCAGCAGTTGTTTCATCACAGACACAAGAATAATCTCCTCTCTCCATTTCAATCTGGATTTAGAAAACATTTTTCAACCACATCTGCATTATTAAAATTCACAAATGATATTTTTTCTGGTTTTGACAATAACCTGCTCACTGGTGCTTTATTTATTGATTTAACAAAAGCTTTTGATATGGTAGATCACTATCTCCTTTTAGACAAACTCCACTCAGTCGGTCTGGACAGGTCCTCACTTCTCTGGTTCAACTCCTACCTTCATCACAGACAGCAATGTGTCTTTTACAAAGGCAGCTATTCCGGTTTCTCTTGTATTGAGAGAGGTGTGCCACAAGGCTCTTCACTTGGGCCACTATTATTTTCCATTTTTATAAATGATCTGCCTCTCACATGCAACGACTGTAATGTACAACTTTACGCTGATGACACAGTAATTTATTGCTCTAAATCAAATATTACTGACATTCAAAATTCTCTTCAAGTTGATTTCAATTCAGTTCAACTCTGGCTACAATCAAACAAACTTTTACTCAATAAATCCAAATCCAATTTTATGTTGTTCCAGAAACGAGTTCGTCCCATTTCTACAAATGAAATTAATCTTCTGTTTTTAGACAAGTCACCACTCCCAATTGTTGATCAGTTTAAATACCTTGGTTTATGGCTTGACACCTCACTCTCCTTTAACAAACACATACAGACAATCTCAACCAAAATTTCATATCGCCTAAAATTACTTTATCATTCAATTAATTGCTTCAGTTTTTCAGTTAGGAAAAGAATTATTTCACAGTTGATCCTTCCTATTCTTGATTACAGTGACATCATTTATCAGAACACTTCAGCCTCCATCCTCCAGCCTCTGAATGTCACATACAACAGCCTGTGCAGGTTCATTCTCCGCTGTCCCTTTAGGACCCACCACTGTCTTCTGTACGAGCAGTTATCGTGGCTCTCTCTGTCCTCCAGACGTCAGCTTCACTGGCTGCTGTTTATTTTTAAATGTATCAATTTAAGTTTTCCAGACTATTTAAAACAATATTTGACTCCTCTGCGATCCACTTACAGTTTGCGCCATGCAAACCAATGTTTCGTTGTTGGTTTGCATTCGTTCAAATTTAAAGCTCCTTCCGACTGGAACAGTTTACCTTCATCCATCCGCGCTCTTACTTCTCTGCCTCTGTTTAAGAATGCTTTGGTCCAATACCTCCAGAACCCATGCCAATGTTATTGAGCATATGCACCTACATTAAATTCAGTGATATGTACTACTATGGATACTAGCTGTAATCTCTGTTAATTTATAACAGACGTTATATCAGAAACAATCAGTGTGTGTGTGTGTGTGCGTGTGTGAGAGTGTGTTTTTAGGTGTCCTTTGTCTTTGTGTTTGTATTATTTTTTATGAATTTTGTTATATTGTTTGCTCTACTGTCTGCCTTTACTGCATCTGTCATTTTGTGCAATTTTGAGGACCCCCTCGAAAACGAGATGTTTCATCTCTAGGGGCTTATCCTCCAAATAAATAAATAAAAATAAAATAAATCATATTTCACAGACAATGACTGGGTATTTAAGGTACTTTAGTGCTCGGGAGGAAGAGGAAGAGGAGGAGGAAGAGGAGGAAGAGGAGGAAGAGGAGGAGGAGGACCAGAGTTGGATCTATCTCAGGTAAAAGACTTGGGAATTGGGAGAAGTACAACATTAATACAAGTTTATAAGAAATGATCAAAGTAATTACAAAGCTGGTTTTCTTGTCTTTCTGAAGGACTGACAGTGAGACAGAGACGGAGAGAGAGACAGAAAGACAGTGAGACAGAGAGAAAGAGACAGCGAGAGAGATACAGTGAAAGACAGAGTGAGAGACAGTGAGAGTGAGACTGAGACAGTAAGAGACAGAGACAGTGAGACTGAGACAGAGAGACAGTGAGTGACAGAGAGAGAGAGAGAGACAGTGAGAGTGAGAAAGTAAGAGACAGAGACAGTGAGAGTGAGACAGACAGTGAGAGAGTGAGACAGTAAGAGACAGAGAGAGAGAGACAGTGAGAGTGAGACAGTAAGAGACAGAGAGAGAGACAGTGAGAGTGAGACAGAGAGACAGTGAGTGAGACAGTAGAGAGAGAGAGAGAGACAGTGAGAGTGAGACAGAGAGACAGTGAGTGAGACAGTAAGAGACAGAGAGAGAGAGACAGTGAGAGTGAGACAGAGAGACAGTGAGTGAGACAGTAAGAGACAGAGAGAGACAGTGAGTGAGACAGTAAGAGACAGAGAGACAGTGAGTGAGACAGAGAGACAGTGAGTGAGACAGTAAGAGACAGAGAGAGAGAGACAGTGAGAGAGACAGAGAGACAGTGAGAGAGACAGTAAGAGACAGTGAGAGTGAGACAGAGAGACAGTGAGTGAGACAGTAAGAGACAGAGAGAGAGAGACAGTGAGAGAGAGACAGAGAGACAGAGAGATGAGAGTGAGACAGAGAGACAGTGAGTGAGACAGTAAGAGACAGAGAGAGAGAGACAGTGAGAGTGAGACAGAGAGACAGAGTGAGACAGTAAGAGACAGAGAGAGAGAGACAGTGAGAGTGAGACAGAGAGACAGTGAGTGAGACAGTAAGAGACAGAGAGAGAGAGACAGTGAGAGTGAGACAGAGAGACAGCGAGACAGAGAGCGAGACAGCCATCTGGTGTCTGACCTCGGTGATGTCGTCTTTGGCCTGCTGCAGTTTGTCCGGCTTGTTGGCCCACAGCAGTTTGGCCTCAGCTTCTCTCTTCTTCTGCAGTGAGCTCTGAGCGTCCTGCCACCGCTGCCACGCCCTCATGCGCTGGTCAAAACAGCCCTGGACCAAACCACAACCACAATCTATAACACTGTTTAAGATATACTTTATTAATCTCACACAATCTATAACACTGTTTAAGATATACTTTATTAATCTCACACAATCTATAACACTGTTTAAGATATACTTTATTAATCTCACACAATCTATAACACTGTTTAAGATATACTTTATTAATCTCACACAATCTATAACACTGTTTAAGATATACTTTATTAATCTCACACAATCTATAACACTGTTTAAGATATACTTTATTAATCTCACACAATCTATAACACTGTTTAAGATATACTTTATTAATCTCACACAATCTATAACACTGTTTAAATTACAAGAGAAAAGTCCTCTTTAAACAGACAGATTTGGTGAACGACTCCATAGTGTTCCTTTCCCTCACGTCCCCCACCATGACAATAGTCCTGATGACAATAGTCCTGATGACAATAGTCCTGATGACAATAGTCCTGATGACAATAGTCCTGATGACAATAGTCCTGATGACAATAGTCCTGATGACAATAGTCCTAATGACAGTAGTCCTGATGACAATAGTCCTGATGACAGTAGTCCTGATGACAGTAGTCCTGATGACAGTAGTCCTGATGACAATAGTCCTGATGACAATAGTCCTGATGACAATAGTCCTGATGACAATAGTCCTGATGACAGTAGTCCTGATGACAATAGTCCTGATGACAGTAGTCCTGATGACAGTAGTCCTGATGACAATAGTCCTGATGACAATAGTCCTGATGACAGTAGTCCTGATGACAGTAGTCCTGATGACAATAGTCCTGATGACAGTAGTCCTGATGACAATATTCCTAATGACAGTAGTCCTGATGACAATAGTCCTGATGACAGTAGTCCTGATGACAGTAGTCCTGATGACAATAGTCCTGATGACAATAGTCCTGATGACAATAGTCCTGATGACAATAGTCCTGATGACAGTAGTCCTGATGACAATAGTCCTGATGACAGTAGTCCTGATGACAGTAGTCCTGATGACAATAGTCCTGATGACAATAGTCCTGATGACAATAGTCCTGATGACAATAGTCCTGATGACAGTAGTCCTGATGACAGTAGTCCTGATGACAATAGTCCTGATGACAGTAGTCCTGATGACAATAGTCCTAATGACAGTAGTCCTAATGACAGTAGTCCTGATGACAATAGTCCTGATGACAATAGTCCTGATGACAGTAGTCCTCATGACAGTAGTCCTGATGACAGTAGTCCTCATGACAGTAGTCCTGATGACAGTAGTCCTGATGACAGTAGTCCTCATGACAGTAGTCCTCATGACAGTAGTCCTGATGACAATAGTCCTGATGACAGTAGTCCTGATGACAGTAGTCCTCATGACAGTAGTCCTCATGACAGTAGTCCTCATGACAGTAGTCCTCCTTACCCTCAGTCCTGATGACAGTAGTCCTTACCCTCACTCCCCTCCTCCACAGTAGTCCTTACCCTCACCCCCCCCTCTACAGTAGTCCTTACCCTCACCCCCCCTCTACAGTAGTCCTTACCCTCACCCCCCCCCTCTACAGTAGTCCTTACCCTCACCCCCCCCCCACAGTAGTCCTTCCACAGTAGTCCTTACCCTCACCCCCCCCCCCCCCTCCACAGTAGTCCTTACCCCCCTCCACAGTAGTCCTTAACCTCACGGCCCCCCCTCCACAGTAGTCCTTACCCTCACCCCCCCTCCACAGTAGTCCTTACCCTCACGGCCCCCACCAGGCGGATGTAGTCACAAAGCAGCTCCCCCAGGACAAAGAAGTCGTTGGCGGCCTGCTCCTGGTGCAGCGCCTCCATCTTGTCCTCGACCTCGGCGAGCTGAGACAGCGCCCGCGACAGCGCCGTGTTGTCCTCAGAGTTCCCCAACATCGCCATGCTCTTAGCAAACAGCGCCGTGTTCATGCAGAGCTCTGTGGGGGAGAGGGGCGGAGCTTAGAGGGCAGGGCTTATAGAGGGGTGAGGCTTAGAGGGGCGGAGCTTAGAGGGCAGGGCTTATAGAGGGGTGAGGCTTAGAGGGGCGGAGCTTACAGGGGCGGGGCATACACAGGGGCGGAGATTATGCAGGGGTGGATCTTAGAGAGGGGCGGAGCTTACAAAGGACTTACTACAAACCCCAATTCTGGTAAATGATAATAAACATTCATATGTATATGTGTGTGTGTGGTGGTGATGTAACTGTTAGAAGAATAAAGGATCTCATGTTACACTGTGGTTGTGGGTTGTGGGATAATGATTGACAGGCCTCTCCTCTCATATAAACCTGTAAGTGATGGATGTGGATCTGACCTTTGCGGTGATTGACCAGAGAGTCCACTACAGCACTGAGCTTCCTCAGCTGCTGCTCCTCGTTCTCCACCTCCTGGAACTTGTCTTCAAACCACTGAGAGCAACACAACCAGAGAGAACAGTGTCAAATCTCTTCTTGTGCTTAAGCCTCAGCCTGCTGTAAACATACTGTTTAAAGAATGCAGTATGTGCAGCTTTTACATCAATTACCCTTCTATAATGCAATGCATAATATAAAATGAAAGAAATAAGCAAGAATGTGTGTGAGTGTGTGTAGATGGTCCTCACGGTGTCAGCCTCGTTCATCTTGTTGACTGTGCGTCTTCCTGTGTGTGTGTGTTTATGTATATATGTGGTCCTCATGGTGTCTGCCTTGTTCATCTTGATGGTCATCTTGTTGAATGTGTGTGTGTGTGCTCCCGCGTGTGTGTGTGTGTGTGTGTGTGTGTGTGTGTGCTCCCGCGTGTGTGTGTGTGTCTGTAGAGTGAGTGTGTGTGTTTGTGTAGAGTAGTGTGTGTTTTTGTGTAGAGTATAGTGTATGTGTGGTGTGTGTGTTTGTGTAGAGTATGTGTGTGTGTGTAGAGTAGAGTGTGTGTGTGTTTGTGTAGAGTATGTGTGTGTTTGTGTAGAGTATGTGTGTGTTTGTATAGAGTATGTGTGTGTTTGTGTAGAGTATGTATGTGTGTGTGTGTGTAGAGTATGTGTGTGTGTTTGTGTAGAGTATGTGTGTGTGTGTGTGTAGAGTGAGTGTGTGTGTGTAGAGTGAGTGTGTGTTTGTGTAGAGTGTGAGTGTGTGTGTTTGTGTAGAGTATGTATGTGTGTGTTTGTGTAGAGTATGTATGTGTTTGTGTAGAGTGAGTGTGTGTATTTGTGTAGACACTATTATACCTGTTGATACGTTTGGACTTGGTGAGTTTGAAAACAAAGTCCAGCTTAAACCTGACTCTGACATTTCAGAAACTCAAAGTGAAAGTAAAGGTTTGACAGTCGGTCCTCTCTTTTGAATGTCTTTTGTAAAAGTCGCTTCATGGAACTTCTGTGGGAATGAATCCACATGTTTCCACTTCAGTGTTTGTCCAGAAGAGAACAATGTTTTCAAGAGTCCAGTGGGTGAGAACAGAAAGTCACTGAGGGGCTTGTGGGGTCAGAGCGTTTATCCAGGAAAGATTAGTAAAGCTGGTAGACCCTGAGTGTGTTCTCTATTAGTGAACAGAGACTTTACATCCATAGTAACAAGCAGAGGCTCACACACTCTTCCATTTGTAAAAGAACGTGTGTAGAATCTTGTAGAAATGATGCTAAAGAGCTCGTGAAGGGCTTCATGAAGAAATCCATGTATTTTCTGCAGGTTAAGCCAGATTCTTATGCCTCTACCTGGAATCAACACAAAAGATCAAATGTTTATTAAAAACAGCCTTTTAGACTTTGAACACAGATACACTGTAATCAATGAGTGACGTTACAACCGTAGCCCACAAGGGGGCGCTCTAACTCTATAAATGGTGTTACGTGGAACTTTATAATGAAAAGGCAAACTATATGTGTAGCAGAAACGGGCTGTTCTAAACTATACACACACAGACACACATATGTACATTATCCACATATAGCAGGGCTTATTATGGAGTGCTCCTACAGTCATGCACGTGGCGCACCACGTGTTGTAGCTACAAGGAGGAAGCGGACATTAAAGTATATAAATGGAGCATAAATATAGATTGGCACATGGTACTCACTTTGCATAGACGCACACAGAACTTATACACACAGGATTATTGATGGTTGGCATGACGCACGCGCACAGGCTCCGCCCCTAACACTGTAAAGAACAGCTCTGAACATGGCTACGGGAGACCCTGGGGAACTACAATATTAACAGGTGCATCATGGGAAATGTAGTGACAGACATTTAACAGTGACATTTGTCACAATTCAATATTATTGAGATTCTTACAATATTCGACAGTTTTGTGATTTGATTCTGTGATTGATTGAATAATATGAAGGACATGAATCACAAAGACTTTACAAACATGGAGGAAAATAAGACTCAACTCAAATGTTATTTATTATGATCTGTTCTTGAAAACGTGAAAAATGAACAATCAGGACACAGGAACTAATTACAGACACAAAGACACAACAAACCAACATCATAGAGTCACAACAAGGAACAGAAAAGTCAAACATGAAAATGAAACACTGAACAGAATGGATTCTTTCCCCAAACCAGGAGTTAAGACTGAAGTGAGATCCTGTAGAGTCTGACTCTGGGTTCACAGGATGCAGCCTCAGCTCTGTCTCCTTCACTTTGGTCCAGATGCTTCAGACCTGCTTCAGACCTGCTTCTCTACAGGTTTTAATGTGTTTAGTAAGAGATGAACTTTGACTAAAAGACTTTTCGCACTTTTCACAGACAAATGGTTTCTCTCCAGTGTGGATCCTCTGATGCACTTTGAGATGACCACTCAGAGAAAAACTCTGACCACAATCGTCGCAGCTGAAGGGTTTCTCTCCAGTGTGGATCCTCTGATGCACTTTGAGATGACCACTCTGAGAAAAACTCTGACCACAATCGTCGCAGCTGAAGGGTTTCTCTCCAGTGTGGATCCTCTCATGTACTTTGTAGTTTGAAGACTGAGTAAACGTCTTCCCACAGTCTCCACAGACGAATGGTTTTTCTCCAGTGTGGATTTTGTAGTGCACAGTGAGGTGAGATAAACGTGTAAAAGTCTTTTCACACTGGTCACATTGGTGAGGTCTCTCTCCTGTGTGGACATGCTGATGTTGTGAGAGCTGATGTTTGGTCCTAAATGTTTTTTCACACTGGTCACACTCAAATGGTTTCTCTCCTGTGTGGATTCTCTGATGACCTTTGAGAGTATTCTCATGTCTAAACTTCTTCCCACAGTCTCCACAGACGAATGGTTTTTCTCCAGTGTGGATTCTGTTGTGGACCTTGAGACCTTGTTTTGTAGTAAAACATGTTCCACACAGATCACACTCGTATGGTTTTCCTCCAGTGTGAGTTCTGTGGTGTCTCTTTAGATCAGAAGCAGAGCTGCAGGTCTTTCCACACTGATCACAGGTGAACCCCATTCTGTAGATGGACTTTGTAGATCTGCAACAAACACAACAACGTCAGATAATTCTAATATGTTTGATGGTGGTAGAAGTGAGAAATGATATTGTTCTCTTTCAACATCAAACATCGGGTTCTGCAATTAAAGCTGGTTGCTCCCGACCCATGGGCTACACCCCCCACCCTGTATAGGAGCCACTTCTACAACCTCAGTCCTGGGTCTACAGCCTCAGTCCTGGGTCTACAGCCTCAGTCCTGGGTCTGCAGCCTCAGTCCTGGGTCTACAGCCTCAGTCCTGGGTCTACAGCCTCAGTCCTGGGTCTACAGCCTCAGTCCTGGGTCTACAGCCTCAGTCCTGGGTCTACAGCCTCAGTCCTGGGTCTACAGCCTCAGTCCTGGGTCTACAGCCTCAGTCCTGGGTCTACAGCCTCATTCCTGGGTCTGCAGCCTCAGTCCTGGGTCTACAGCCTCAGTCCTGGGTCTACAGCCTCAGTCCTGGGTCTACAGCCTCAGTCCTGGGTCTACAGCCTCAGTCCTGGGTCTACAGCCTCAGTCCTGGGTCTACAGCCTCAGTCCTGGGTCTACAGCCTCAGTCCTGGGTCTACAGCCTCAGTCCTGGGTCTACAGCCTCAGTCCTGGGTCTGTTCATGTGGCTATGAACAGATATAAACTATGACGTCATACAATGAGCTTTAGAAACAGAAATAGGGAAATGTACAGTCTGACATAGGGGTGCGCTGGCTGATTAAGGACCACGACGACACATGTAGGATCACTGGTTGACTTTATCTGCAGTTCTGTATAAAAAAAATAAAACACAAATCCTTATGGTCTCTCCATATCACACGCTCGCAGTCCCCTGTTAGCAGCTAGCTCTCACATGTGACTACATAAACTACCAGTGATGGGCAAGCTACTTGATTTATGCAGTTAGCTAAGCTACTCTACAATAAATTCAGCTTCACTTTACAGAAGCTACCACCCATAAAAATGCAGCAAGCTAAGTTACAAAATTCTGTCAAAAGTAGTTTGCTATATAGAAGCTACTTTCAAGTAAACAAACTGCAGTCTATGCAATTTTAGTGATAAATACTAAACTGTCAGTCAGAAAAAGGTTAAAATTTAGATATTTATAGAATAGCCCAAAACACCAACAACAAAAGACAAGAATGCCATTTGCAATTGTAAATAAAATAAATTGAGAAATTATAGCAATAAGCCATTACAAATTAACATGTACTTCATTAGAAATGTTTTTTAACTGTTGTTTATAACAATAGCCCAATAAACACGAAACAAATGTGAATCCGAGCCAATTAATGGCTCTATTTAAGCAAGAATACCCTCTGAAACTGAAAAGAAAACACATAAGTTTACAAATGAACTGTGCTAGAACTATGTCTGACCAGTTTATGAAAACAATGGTAACATCCTACAGCCTTATTATCAGTCAGAGGAGCTTTCTCTGGGATTACAGAGTAGGATCTGAAAACATTTCTGTTCGCTCGTCTCCACTAAAGTGACGTGCTTTTGGAGGTATGGCCACGGTGAGGTCTGGACTCCACCGGGCGCGTCTCCGTTGACGCGCGTTGGCTGCTGTCCGTCGGACGTCCGTAAAACGGACTAGTGGTCTAAACTTATTGAAAGCAATTGGAAAAATGGGAGAGAGAAAAGAACTCCAACATATCCAGTGTTGTGAGATCTGTCTCTCATAAGTGCAGTAGCTCTGTGGGTAATGTGTGTGTGTGTGTGTGGATGGGAGCGCACGGCGGTGAGGAGAGAGCAAGGGGACACAGCAAGTGTCCAAGGGGACAGAGCAAGTGTCCAAGGGGACACAGCAAGTGTCCAAGGGGACACAGCAAGAGTAAAAAGAGCGAGGTGTATGTAAAGATTAACATTACGCGAAAGATAAATGGTAGATGTACGATCAGGAAACAATTATTTAAATTAATACATGAAAAAAATTACACGTTTGTTAATAATCATTGTCATTAACAAACACTTATAACCAGGACTACAGCATATATCAATACATGTTTAATAATGTTGTAAATATATTAATATATATATTATTCATTGTATTTCCAATGGAAAACGGACCCAACACGCGTCGACGGAACAAATAGGATTGTTTCTATTTCGTCCGTCCGCGTCCGTTGCACCCTCCGTTGATGGAATCCGGATGTTGGAGGCAGTGGAGCCACTTCCATTCACCCTCATGGAA